GCTGCTCTCAGTAGTTGAGAGTCTTTGGCCATTTGGTCCCTTCCACATGGCCCAGGAAGGGGCACCGGGCTGGACCCCAGGTTAGCCCACTGGGAGGGAGCATCCCAGGCTAACCCCCAGGCCCGAGCACCCCAGGCTGGGCTGGGCTTGCTCCACCCAGGCCAGCTCCTCCCAGCCCCACCCCCACTCCTCCTCCAGAGTTTGGCACTGGGGTTGGCAGAGGCCCATACCTGAGGGGCCAGCAGTGGGAGGGGCTGCTCCTCCCAGAGCCTCGAGCCGCAGGCCCACCTCTCCTCCCTCAGCTCAGGCACGCCTGCTGCTCAGTCCCTAGGCCCCCATGCCTGCCTGCCGAGCCCTGAGGGGTCCTGCAGGGAGAGGGTGGGCCGGCCCTGGCACACACCCGTGCCCAGTCCTGGGGGAAGACTGCGCTGGCTCTGGGGTTTGCTGCTGGGCAAGATGGGAGGGAGTTCTCTGTGCTTGTGATGGAGGGTCCCAGCGGCACCCAGGGGCCACCCTGAGGTAGGGCCCTGCCACCCTGACCCAGGATCCGCAGTGGGTGGAGTGGGAGGTGGGACTGATGATGGAGGGACCTGGTAGCTCCCTCTCAGCCCGGACCTGGGGCGGGCCAGCCTGGGGTTCTGTTGGCCCGTGTGTGTGTGTGTGTGTGTGTGTGTGTGTGTGTGTGTGTGTGTGTGCGCGCGCGCGTGTGTGCTTGTACACACCTTGGTCTGTGTATTGGGAAACACCCCCACACGTGAACATGATCACACTGACATGCCAACCCACATCACACACGTGCACACAGATACCAACCTGCCACCACCCGGGTGCACACGTGCACAAGCTCCTGTGTGCACAGACACACGCTCACACACCCGCCCCCCATGCACGCACACCAGGCACACAAGCACTCCTCCCTGCACAGCCCCTCCTGGCTGGCCAGCCCTTCCTGCCCGAGGCACCTCCTGGCCCCCTGCCCCCTCATCCATCTTGCCTGCCAGCCGTCCCTGGCGTCCCCGTATCCTTCACACCTTCTCATCTCGCTGCTCAATAGCAGGAGGCGGCGTGGCAGCTGTGGCCGCGGGGAGATGGATGGGCCAGGCGGGGTGTGGAGGGGCCGGGGAGGATGCCTCGAGAGCACGGAGCTCAGGCCCTACCAGCCCCACTGTCAGCAGGAGCCATGCCCTGCCGGCTCAGGCGGGTGTGGGTTCTGTGGGGCTGCGCTTGGGGCCGTCCACCCTCCCCATTCTGCCTGCCGTGGACAGCGTGACCAGGACCCAGGGACCCCAGCGGTAGCCCCTGGGCACCTCCTCCCTGTGTGCCTGCACCTGGACCTGCGGGCCTGGGTGGAGAGAGCTGTCGAGCTGCACACCTTCCCCAGCCCTGACTCCCCTGAGCTCCCATGAGCTCATGACACACCTGGAAACGCACATGGGCTGTGCGCCCATCACATGCAGATCCTCCCAGAACAGCCAAGGCACTGGTTCTCGGAAACACATGCACACACAGCACCTGGGGCGGGCATACACATGGGCACCCACACACGTGGGCACACACTTCTGCTCTCCTAGCCGACCCTCTGGCCCCAGGAGTGTAGGAAGTTGGGGACCCTCCTCTGGTCATGGCCTCCGGAAGCCCTTCTGCTGGTTCGAGGACAGTCTTTCTCAGAGTTTCCCCCACAGTATAGGATCTTCCCTGGACAAGCATGGGCACAGAGACAGCTACCACTGGCCCCAGGACACACAGCATGTCCAAGGCCACACGGGGCCAGACTTGCCCCAGATCCTGAGGCCACAGAGAGGCACCACACAAGATGGAGGACACAAACCATGGACCCCTGGACATCTTCCACTTTATAGAATGGGAAACTGAGGCAGGGAGGTGGGGGTGTGTGGCAAGGATCATGGTATATAGAAGGTGGCAAGGTGGCCTCTGAGCTGGGGATCATGCCTTAGGTGGGAGGCTGAGGCCGGGCAGGTGTGGCCTGGGTTAGGGAGCCGGGGAGGGGGCGGGGGCCAGCCCGGGCAGGGCGGGCACAGAGAACGTGAGCTTCTCCGTCTGGAGGAAGGCAATGCCCTTCTCGTAGTAGGCGGCCTCATTGATGAACACGGGGTACACAGTGGACTCCCCTTCATAGAGCACGTCCTTGCCGCTGAACATCTGGAAGATGGGTGCTCCAGGCCGCAGCGGCTCAAAGTCTCGGTCCTGGGAGGACAGCCAAGGGCCAAGGGTTCTGGGGCTGACCTCTGCTCTGGCCCCAGTGGGGGTGACCCCAGCAGGGACTGTCCAAGAGACGCCCCTCCCCCAGGGCCTCACCCACTCACTCCTTCACTGCCTTCATCAATATGACAGGGCGTCGACCGAGATGCCAACTGGCCCTGTGTCTAGAAATGGAGACACCAGTCACCTTAGAAGACGTTTGTTCTTGCGGAAGTGTAGTCTAGTGGTTACAGGCACAGATAGTAAAGCCTCGGTGCAAATTCTTGCTAGCTGTGTGACCTGGAGCAAGTCACTTAACCTCTCTGTTCTCAGCCTCCTCAGCTTTAAAACGGGGATTGTACTCTCTCCTCCTATCACCCTGAGGTTTAAATTAAATGGCTAATAGCGCTTATGTTTGCATCTAGTAAATATAATATAAAAGTTTATTAAATTAAAGTTGTGGAAGAAATCAATCAAAATGTCTGTTACTACTTAGCATGGAAGATGGGCAGGCAGCTTCAGGGCCTGTAGCCCTAAACACTGAAAGGATGGAGCCCCTCCCACAACACTGTTACAGGATAACGCCCCAAAATGAAACGTGCAGCTGGCTCCCAACAGAAAAGTCCAACCAAGTTCTGATTCTTCCTACAATTGTTACTTTGGTTCTTCAGAGTATTTTTGAAATCCTTCCCACTATTCCTCTCTCTGTCACGCCCACACCCTGCCAAGCTCTCAGTGCATGCCAGGTCTGTGTGCTGGGTCTCCCATGTTGTGGCACGGACAGGGCTGACCGAGGGAGGTGGGGCCCCGGAGACAGACACCCATCCTTGCAGAGATTCAGAATGACTGGGTCCCTCCGATACTGGAGGGGTCCCCCACCCGGTTCCACTGGCAGGACAGGACCCTGCTGGCCCACAAGGACTCATCATGGAAGAGGGGCTCTGGCTGGTCACTGGGCTCAGCGCGGAGCTTTGGGGTGGAGTGAGGGGGCCTGTGCCCACAGAGCCGGTGGCCCCTCTGATGCCCCTCTCCCACCTGAAGGCCAGATGCGGGGGTTGGGGACACTTACTAATGAGGCTAGGGCTCAGGCGCCCATCTTGGGCACCCCTACTGCCTGGGCACTGCAGAAAGCAAAGGCCACGGAGGGTGTGGGCCTTGCTCCACAGCGACGCCCTGTGGCAGCAAGGAGAAAAGCAGCTGGTTGGCTGCCCTTGCCTACCTTCTTCCTGCCAGATATAGAAGCAGGATCCCCTAGTCCAGCGGTTCTCAATCTGTGGGTCGCGACCCCTTTGGGGGTGGAACGACCCTTTCACAGGGGTCGCCTAAGGCCATCGGAAAACACATATATAAACAGTGGTTCTCAACCTTCCTAATGCCGCGACCCTTTAATACAGTTCCTCATGTTGTGGTGACCCCCAACCATAACATTATTTTCGTTGCTACTTCATAACTGTAATTTTGCTATTGTTATGAATCATAATGTAAATATCTGATATCCAGGATGTATTTTCATTGTTACAAATTGAACATAATTAAAGCATAGTGATTAATCACAAAAACAATATGTAAGTATATATGTGTTTTCCGATGGTCTTAGGCTACCCCTGTGAAAGGGTCATTCGACAGGTTGAGAACCGCTGCCCAAAGGGGTCGCAACCCACAGGCTAGCGACCCACAGGTTGAGAACTGCTGCCTTAGTCCCTGGAACATTCAGGAAGGGGAAGTCTGGAGAGGGAGATGCTGGACTCCCTGCTAACTCGCATAGGGATGCTTGAGGAATTAACTGGAAAACAGGGCTCAGCATTTGCACCTCCAAGCAGGGTCAGGCCTGTCCCACCCCCTCCCTCCCTCGGCCTCTCTGCAGCCAGGAGAGGTGTGTCCAGGCCGTTGTGGAGCCCCAGGTGCCCCCCACAGGCTCTGTGAGCATCACTGTGGCCCAGAGTCCCAGGCCCGTGCAGGGTTCCTGCAGAGGCAGAATGGGTGGGCATGGGCGCCCGGGCTACTGCCCCCTGCTCCGGATTTGGGGTGCTGGTGACTCCATGGGAGGCACTGTGGTCCCTGCCTCTGTGCTCGTTTCTTTCTTTCTTTCTTTTAATATTTTATTGATTTTTTACAGAGAGGAAGGGAGAGAGAGATAGAGAATTAGAAACATCGATCAGCTGCCTCCTGCACACCTCCTACTGGGGATGTGCCCGCAACCAAGGTACATGCCCTTGACCGGAATCGAACCTGGGACCTTTCAGTCTGCAGGCCGACGCTCTATCCACTGAGCCAAACCAGTTACCACTGTGCTCATTTTCTCACACCTCCCAGACACACACACACACACACACACACACACACACACACGCACGCACGCACGCACCTGCAGCTGAGGATGCACGGTGCCTGCCAGGTCCCCGGTCTCCGTGCGTGGGAAGTCCACGCTGCTCACGTTTCTGTACGCTTCCATCTCAAAGGCAGGAAATGCGGTGCCTGTGTGGGAGGCTTCGTGCCTGAGCCCGTCCCTCCCTCCAGGCCCTGGCGGAGTGGGCCATGGGGGCCACTCAGGGCTGGCTCCCAGCCCACCCCAGAGCCTGGCTCCTCGGCCCCTGGGCCAGGCCCTCTCCTCTCAGGGCCTCAGTTGCCTGGCGAGTCCTGGGGTCTCACCCTGGTTGAAGAGCTGGATGAAGTCCAGGGCTGCGGCCACCAAGGCCCTCATCCTGACGAGAAGGTCAGCCCGCAGCACTCCCTGAGGCTGGGGGCCCAGCTCCAGGCCTGGGGACCCAGAGGGAAGGGGTCAGGCAGGTACTCCAGAGACTTGGGCCCTCTGGACCCCTCGACCCTGACACCGCCCACCATCTGGCCCCGCCCTTCCCAGCCCCTGAGCACTTGGCCCACCCAGTCCGCTCTTGGCCACGGAGTTGACGCTGTAAGTCTCTTCTCCAGGCAACTGGTACAGGAAGACCCGGCAGGGCAGCTCTGGGCTCTGCAGCTGTGAGCGGAGGGGTGGGTCAGGGCCCAGACCTATCTGGGCGGGGAAACTGAGTCGAGGGGGGAGCATGGAGGAAGCACAGAGCAGCGTGGGGAGGGGCGGTGG